GGTAAGATGTGAGTAGAGTTACATCATCAAAATAATGAAGAAGTTAAACTGTGTGATTAATACTCAAAGTTGTAACTAAGTGGGGTGAAGATTGGTAAGATGTGAGTAGAGTTACGTAATATGGACATGTTTAGAAAGATTAGATGCTAGTGAAGGAGTTTGGAGACAATTATGAAAATAAACTAGATAATAGGTGAAAAGATTGAATGGGTTAGTTACTAAAAATTGTTATACGAAAATTGCAAAAAATTTGATAACAAAATGTTGATGACAAATAAACTTGGAATTAAACCCACGGTAGTAGGAGGGGATGGAGAAGTTTCTTCTGTGTGCATAACTCGGGCTTTTCCATCCAAATCGCTAAGGCTTCAGCAATACAAAGTATACGGAAGCTTGTCGATTTTAGAAGGCTTCTTTTGAATTTATAGATGACTTTGAACGACTTTTCCTTGCAAATCGAATGACCAGTGTTGAGTATATGCTCAATAATGGCGCTCCTTATTGCTCCGTTGTTACCTTTCCGTAGCCAGGTGGGATGGTGTTCTCGAACTCTTTTGGATAAAACGCGCATCGAACGACCTATATACCTCGCTCCACAAGAGCAGGTGAATTGGTAGATACACATGGAAGTGGTCAAATGCGATAGTTTATCTTTAGAGTAGTTGAAGAACACGTATATATAGAAAATAATTCAATGGAGGTAATTCTGATTAGTATACACACTTATATTTGACATATAGATAAAATAATCTGATCGTTGAAATAATAGAGAAGATTTGTAGCTCAGCTGCATGATTTGTTCTCTGAGCTCGTTGGTTTAGTTGCGGAGCTTTCGCCGTTCTTCTGGACAACATCCCCCTTCAGTGCAATTTTTAGCATAAAGTGAACTGATTTAAATTTTCCATGAGTGATATAATTGCGTCTCCCGGTAACCATCTTTACATATGTATTGATCATTTTCTATTGACTTGGATTTTAAACTTTCTGGTCACATGATTTACTTTTCATTAGTTGGTATATTTGGTCTATATTAACATGTTTGTTAATCGCTGGCTGATTCGTTTGAGTACCATGCAGGCTTCTAGGAATTCCCTGGCACTTTTGGTGTTTCCTCTGTCTAAGATTTTGACATTATCCCAATCGTCAAATTGATGTCCATAATTGTCTACATGCATTGATACTAAAGAATATATATCGTGTCTTTTGACGGCTGATTTGTGTTCTTGGATTCTAATTCGAAGGCGCCA